ATATCTAAAATAAAAATAAACCTGGTATTCAAAAATATTCAAATTTTTTGTGAATGTATTGAGCCCAGAGATATAAAAATTCGAACGCTCGGACGTGCACGTATTAAAAAAACAAACCAGATTGTTTTCATCCTACCAACGGAAATTGACGTACGTGCACGGACGCGCAAACTGCGATGCAATGTAACCCCCTGCGTAGATACCATTTGTTTGCTTTTTGTTGCTTGCACGTACCAAAAAAACGCACGGACACGCATCCAATGTAACCACCGGCTTAACTTGAAAACTATTAAATATTGGTATAGGTTAGTATAATAGATAATAATAATAGCAAGGTACAGCTTACCATACTAGAGCCGTTCGGTATACAAGGAAGGTAATGTGGCTAGCACTACGCTTCAACCGCCTATTATTACCTCAGGATTGTGAATCCCAAATGAAATGCCGGGTGTGGGATTCGACCCACTACATTGAGATTGGTAGACGAGAGCCTGTACCTCTACGCCACTGGGCACCTAGTATAATAGATAAATTATAAAATATGTATGAAAGGAGTTTGGAAAAATATAATAATATACCGGGTGTTCCATTTAAAATCACAAAGATACTACCACTTTTAGTATGAACTGTAACACTGCAATGCTGAAAATAATTTTAACAGATGGAGGGGAGGTGCTTTTATATGGAAATCCAAATTTTTAAACAGATCTTATTACCAGTTCTCCATAAAGAAATAACAATATTAGTTGGGGAACAATAAAATTCAATATTTCGTTAAAAATTTAACGCAAAAATTATGTGTCAACCGTATTATTTAATTAACGTAAAAAATGGAGTTATCAAGTTAACACGTTTCACTGATGATATTTTTTGACTGTTAATTCGTTAAAATGAGTGAGAAATCAAAACTATATGTGATATACGTTAAATATTTTTTAAGTATTAATTTGATGTATTTTTTTAGTAAAAAAGTCATCAGCAATATGTATAAAGAAAATTCGCGTTCTATTTTTTTGCATGTATATAGTCCGCGTACGGAAATCGATATTTTGTTTGTTTTTATTCCGAAAAAGCTCTTTTACTTTCTAGTCCGTTTTCCCTTTACACCCTATTTACCCCTTTTTTATTAGTTTATTTTATGTTTTTGTCGCGCCGTCACATCACACGAGCAGCCCGTTCATTTTTTTTCGATTATTTTTACGTAGAATACTAGCATTAAGAAAATGTAAATAAAGTTCAGAATCTTTTTTAAAACGCTCTATTTTAAATGAATTGTTTAGTAAAGTATATTCTGTTCCTAATGAGTTTGTTTAAAAAAGATTCTTTATTTGGACTTGTAAAAAAAGATGTAATAATACAATAGATAGGAAATTGAAACGTACTTAATTGATATTATATATTTTCGGAGAATTACTTATTTTACCTATTTGTAATTATTAATTTTTAACTTACTGATTGGTTAGTAAACTTTTCTCTCTTTTTTTATAATTAAGTACTAGTTAATGTTGAACTGTAAAGATTATTAACCAATCATTATCAGTACAAATATTGTTTAAATTAACTTCAACTTGACTATGCAAAAAGTTCGAACGATCGAAACAATAATACAAGTATGTGATAGCAACTTTTTCTTATCTATTGACGAAATTGTTGAAGCCGATGCCTTAAAATGTAAAATTTCGATCGTATTGTAGTAGTCGAGTACGTTTTGGGGAAGTAGTATCAGTAATATCGAGAACCGTCGCATGTAAATCGAGATTCGTATAATTTCTGCCGTGTGGTGTGGCTTGGTGTGGACTCGCCTAAATCCGACTCGACTGACCCGAGCCTTATCTCTGCAGAGCGACCAACGAACGGCGCGAACAGGCGCGCAAAGACCTCAAAGGCCTGGAAGACACCGTCGCCAAAGAGCTGCAGACCCTCCACAACTTGCGCAAGCTGTTCGTCCAAGATCTACAGGTACGTGACTGCTCTCGTCCTCCACGGACATCCTATCTAATACCCTCGGATACAAAAAAACCCAACCGAATTTTTTTCCTCAAATTTAAAGAGAGTAGGCATTATATTTTTTTATTTTTAATCCTATTTTTTCATGATTTTTTTTAGCAAACTATATAAATACCCGGTGCGTCTCAAAAGTGGCTCACCCCTATAACTTTTTTATTTTTTTAGATAAAAAAAAACCAAATTTGGTTTGTTAGTATTTGACATAAATTGGGATTGATTGACGTATTCAATTTTTTTCGTCGCTTCCTGTTTCACCGGAAATGACTACTACTTTTGATTTTTAAATGGCACCCCCGGTATATTTTTACTTTATTCGATAGAAAATGACATTCTGAATAGAATGACACATATGTCAACTTTTGACATTCTCGCTTAATAAAAAATCGTATTTTAAATTTCAATCTAGAGTGCCATGGCTATGTTAAAAACACTAATTATTAATCAAGGAGCTTTGGAAAAATAGATTTGATCATCTAATGTTTTTAGTGTCTTGTCCTGGCCGGTTAAAAAATGCCTAAATCGTATTTTTAATCATCTCAATTTTTTCAAATGGAAATTTTTCAATGAACGAGGCAATTTTCAAAAAATTCAAATTTTTTCAATGAACGAGGGTGGCAATCAATCCCAATTTATGTCATATACTAACATACCAAATCTCGTGTTTTTATCTGAAAAAATAAAAAAGTTATAGGAGTGAGCCACTTTTGAGACGCACCAGGTATATCTACTTCAATTGAGATAAACTCAATTTTCTATAGACTTTAGTATTTGGCTCTTATTATACAGGGTTAATCGAAAGGTTGTTTTTATTCTATTTTTTAAACACCCTGAGCAATAATTTCGCGAGCAAATTTTTTTAAAACATTTTTCGATCAGAACCATGTCTTCTGAGCATTTTGTTTTTTGGCTCATGTCAATACATGACTTAGTAATGCTAACTGCAAAGATTGAAAATTTTTGGTGGCAAGTTTATTTCACTCTAAAAATTAACAAAGGCACGTGTTGACATGAATCAAAAAACAAACCGTAAAATAATGTTTTAGGAAAATTTGTTCATGAATTCATTGCGCAGGATGTTTTAAGGTAAAAAACAGCCCTTCGATTAACCCTGTATAATAAGCCAAAAACTAAATTTATAAAAAACTTAGTTTACGAATTTAAAGTTGAAATATTCATATACAGTTAGTAAGAAAACCATGAAAATAGGACTAAAAATACAAATAATATAACATTTTAAATTTGTCAAAAAATATCCTGTTGCGTTTTTTTTTGTATCTGAGTGTATATTCTTATCTCTTTCTCTCTCTGCAGGCCAGAATGAAGAAGAATATGTCTAACGAGGATAACGAGGAGGACGGCGGTTCGCTGGCGCAGAAACAGAAGATCTCCTTCCTGGAAAACAACCTGGACCAGCTGACCAAGGTGCACAAGCAGCTGGTGCGCGACAACGCTGATCTGAGGTGCGAACTGCCTAAACTGGAGAAGCGTCTCCGGGTGACGATGGAGCGGGTGAAGGCGCTGGAAACG